TCCGACTAAAGTGTGTGTGTGTGTGTGCATGTATATATACTCCTACTTGGGTTTTTAATACAGTAATGTAACATAAATTCATGTTATGCAAGGCAACAAAATTTCCTCAGCATTAGGAATTAAAAATTATAACTTTTAAATGAAAATGTGTTATTAAGGCATGGAAAAAATGTATTAAAACCATATTTCTTTTAACTAGAGGAATCTAAGAAGTGCTTATATAAATAAAAATTTTAATATCATAATGAGTTTATTATTACGAAAACCCAACCTAATTCACGTCTCATCAACGATTTTCGATAAAATAAATAATAATAAAATACTACACGAATTGTACAATACTTTAAAATATAAATATAGATAACCAAAACATGTTACAAAATATACATTTGATTTAGTGGGAAAAATGGTCATTCAATGAAATAAAATAATTTATATTAATAAATAACCTGGAAATCGATTAGTGTTGAATATATTTCTGTTTTTAAACGCAAATCATTGTGTAGTTAAGTAAAAAACTAAAAAAAAGACAGTAATAACGTATTACCGAAAAAGGAATTGAAAAATAATTGCGTTTCATCTGAAATCCAATGCATTAAAAAGTGAAGTAAAGTGACCAGTCATAACAATAAACCATAAGTTGAGTCAGATTATAAACGTCAATAAACATTTATTTAAATAATAATTATATATTTATTCCAATAATAGAAAGATGATTCGTGTATAAAGAAGTGCGGAATAAATAGAATCTACAATAATTACATTTTGATTTACTAAGAAATAATTTCTGATAAATTTAAGGGATATTTTAAAAGAACACAATTTAACTGCCTACGCTTTATTTTCATATACACAATTACAGATAGTTCTGCTATTAATATTATATTTGTTTTATTACATAATAGCTTTTTTACCTACGAACAATGTATATTTTGACAAGCTCACTAATTAAACGTTCTATGCACTATTAACCTCAATTAGCACACAAAACACAACTCAATTACTGTATTAGTTTTATACATTGATAATTATAAAAGGATTTTATAAAAAGTATTCTTCGTTTTTCATTATATACTAATGTCACACTATTTATATCAGGGCCAGTGATGTTTAAATGGGGGGAAATTTCTCATTTTGAGGAAAAATTGAAACAATTGATGAATTTGAAATCTTATCCAGTGACGGTGGAAATTTTAGTGAGTTGTTGAGTAAAATAAATTACAACTATGTGGAACCTTCAGTAATATTACCATTTTAGAATCTCAGTGCCTTAAATATAATTTTGAATCGCTTGGTCTGGGGCAACTGTCCTTATTTCTCCCCCTCACAACGTCACAGGTCATAATTTTTTGTTTTTTAAAATTCAAAATTTTTAAATGAAATAATATAATTTTAGACGATTATAGGTATGTGGTAATTACCATTAGTTCAATTAACTAAATAATCAAAATTTTTAATTTAATTAATCAACTATCTAAAAGCAAAAAAAATTATACTTATTTCTTGATGTAAAGAGATAGCGAAATAAATATGCAATATGATAATTCAATATACATTTTCAATGTATTTAATTATTTCATTTAGTTTTTTTCAAGTTTACGATTAACTTAATTCCATAAATATATTTCTATATAAAATGTAATTTTCATAATTTTTCTTTGGGGAGATTTGAATACTATCTCCAGCCATCAATAATAAGGACTTTGAAGTCAAATTAAACCAAAATTTAATACCTTCAATAAGTAGATTTTAAAATTTGATACAACACAATACTTTTTATGAAAAAATCCAAATATATTTTAATACATTAAAAAATATATTTTATGAAATTGTGTATAGGAAAATTGTTATTCAAATTATGAAATTGATAGTGTATAAATACACTAATAACTAAAAAAAAAATTTGAGTATTAGATCACAAAGTATTTGAATAAAAGATTTACTTATATTATTTATATAAAAAAATTGTCTTATAACAAAATAAAACTATTTCAAAAAGTAAAATAGGGAATTACTGCTGCTTGACGGGCACAATAAATTAATTAAAAAAAAAGTACTGTCACTTTATCAGAGATGGGTTTAAGGAATTTGCCCCTTAATCTTGGGCTACATAAATAATTCATAGAATTTCATATATTATATAGAACTTAAAAAAATTCTACTAAAAAAACAAATAAAATTTGACATACTACTCTTTAAATTCAATTAACCATTGTACTAATACAAATTTCTCTATGAAAATTTTCTTCTTTACAAGTCTATAAGTCAGGTTATGCTTTTAATGAATAATATATAGATGGAAAAAAATTCATTTTATATACTTGACAAGAATCTAACAATATATTAACACAGTGTATAATACATTACTGTATGTAGTTCTTTTTAAATGGTTAAGTAAAAAATTATTTAAAATTTAACATCAAGACAAAATAAAGACTTCAAATTATCTCTAGTCTCATAAAGGACATCTTTTTAAAAGATTTTATACAATTAATTTTCAATTCCATATAGAAGTGAAGAATATTTCCTTATATGAACTTATACCCAAGGTTATTTTTTGAATTAAGCAAACAAATAAATTACTTACTTTCCAAAATAAAAAAGGCTATTCTATTGTTTCAGTTAGTAATCTATTTATTGGTCCGTATTTGATAAAATACTAAATAGAGGCTCTTTTAAAAAGTAAATTTCACAAGACCGTAATAAGGCCAGCTATGATGTATGGTTCAGAGTGTTGGGCGGTTGATAAGAAAGTAGAGCAGAGATGAGAATGCTTAGATGGATGAGTGGAGTAACTAGAAAAGATTAGGATAAGGAACGAGCATATAAGAGTGAGTATAGGTGTAGAGTCAATTGTGAATAAGATGAGAAAAAATAGACTTACATGGTTTGGTCATGTTATGAGGAGAGAAGAATCAGAAGCTGTAAGAACAGTTGTAGAAATGAATGTTGAAGGAAGAAGAGATAGAGGAAGACCAAAAAAGATATGGAGAGATGCTATTGAATGCGATTTGAAGACAGCTGATGGGAGCGTAGATGATTTGGGAAATTGTGTCAAGTGGAAGTTTAGGATATGGGTGGCCAGCACCAAGTAGTTGGGATTAAGGCAAGGAAGAAGAAGAAGAAGACTAAATAGAGACCCTATTTGTTAACTGCTGGGAGTCTTCCGACTTCATATATTCTCTTTTTTGATAGCCAAATTATCCTTTCCAAAGCAATTTTTTTAAGCAATTTAGATATATGTATATAAGAAATATAACTTTTAGAATCTTTTAACAATTTTTTAACACTCATATTTTTTTAAAAATATCTTATATTTTTAACTAAAATCATTCATGAAGGAATGCAATTAATTTTTTTTTCCATTTGATATATTGACCATTTAGTTACAACCATCCAGTCTTCCAGAATATTTACTGTACGGAAGTTTTGATGTATCAAAAAATAATAAAATAATAGATGCCCTCATAACTAGTAGTGTATACAAAGGTGTTAGGAAATTATGCCACCCTCAATTGATTAGCATTGTTTAATTTTTTTAATCGCCCATAAAAAATTTGATTTGATGAAATTTTGTTTTTTTTTTGTTTATTAATATTTTGGTCAGCAAAAAATTATTTTAAGGTTTAGTAGTAAACACTTCAAATGCTGTAAAACTCGACTAGCTATTGTTAGTTCTTGGATTATTTATTAAACAGCAATAACTAAAAACAATATGAAACATCACATGTATGAATGGCAAGGGAAATTATTGTTTTCAGTTTATAGCATAATTAAATGATATAAATATAGAACGAATAAAAAACATAATTACAGAATTTTGTATCAAACTTTTCAAAAATAGCTTTTAATTAAAATATTTTATAGAACATTCATAACTTTTACTTTAATTGGTTTGTTATATTAACCTTTAAAGCAATAACTTTAAGCCTTATAAATAACATAAGCATATAAAAGAAAATGGAAGATTTTACAAACACAATGGATTTTAGCTTTATAAAGAAATTTTAGAATTAGAATTTATTTTTATACTAATATTATTGTAAATTTTAAAAATTAAGTACATCTAATTTTTTAATTTAAGGAAATATAATAATTAAATTGTATTTTCTTTTTTTTTTTTTTGGAAAATGGGTTATTTCTTATATAATACATTGTATATACAATTTTAAAAGGGATGTAAAAACAAAAATTTATTTTTTAATAAAAATTAAACTATATTGCAAAACTATTGACAATATTAATAGTTTATATTAAAACTTACAGAATACTATGATAGATAACCAATTAAAAAACAATAAATAAATTTAATGAATCTTTCTTGGCTATTTATCAAAGTTAAAAACTACTAGTAAGTATAAAATGAAATTACAACAAAATATTTAAAAAAATTACAAAATGTAATAAGTCATAATTTGATTTAGATATTCTTTTCAAAATGTTTGTGAGTTCTTTATTTTATCATTATCACTAGTTTTATTAAAAAATTGAGTTCAAAATAATATACTCAAGTTAACCAAACATTAACTAAATTATATACTATGATAAAATTAAGTGACTCTTTTGAAAGTAAAATATGTAGAGTAATATAATTACTCTACAGTTGAAAACGCTTAGTCAAATTTAGAGTAATTCATCGAAACTTTGACAAACATTCTTTGAAATGTGAAATAATATAAATAAGTAACTTGAAAATACATTACCCAGATAATCATAGGAATACAATCAATAATCAATTGATAACACTAACCAAAAACTATGAAAATTCAAACTTTTTTAGTATATAGTACTACTACTTAATGTTGCTAAGTGAAAACTAATTTATATACCTTGTTTAACTTAGAATTTCCTAGTAGACAACCAGGAAATTTTATGTGTCTTAGGGCATGGATTCACAACTCAAGGAAAACCCCATTAATACTCAAATAAATGTAATGTATCCTATTTACGATACTGTAGTAGTAGTAGTAGTAGTACACTATTAACTTATTATGACTTACCTGTGGACAGATATCCGGATTTCCAGCAAAATTCCGAGATAGAACATCTCTATTGTTTGAATCCATATCAATTTTTTAGATGATTGGATCAAACGAAAGTATTCAAACAGTTATCGCGAAACCAACACATAATGAGAGGTAATTTGTACATCGATCATTTCGAATAGACACTATCGGTTAAAAGTGATAACGTGAGTAAATAAATTAAAACACAGGTACAACAATTTTTTCACTGTTAATAACAAGAAATCAAAATAAATGAATATTAAGTGAGATAGAAAAATAAGACCCGAATGAAAATATAAGAACACGCGAAAACTTTAGAACGTTGGAGGAACTACAACGGAGACGGACACTGGACACACTTGTAACTTATTAACAATAATGGTAAGCGGACGTTTGACGGCAGTATGCATTTGTCTATAGATATCGATGAGATAATTATTTATCTATTGTGTCGGTGTACAAATGTGTGTGAAAATATGACAGATATGCAGTTACAACTAAGTGTGTACAAATTTGTTAGTGTGTGTAGTATTATCACAATCAGTCAGACAACGGCGCTGGAACGACAGGCACTGCGGTTAAATGCAACGGTGTGGTGAACTGTTACAGCAGGCACTAGTGTTACTACCCGAAGGCGTTTTCGAAGATATATCGTAACGTTGCGCATCGTTCACGGAGGTGCTGCTCTGGAGGTAATGAAATAAAGGATTGAGTGTGTGAAGCGTTCGTTATAAGGAAACGTTTTGATGTCTAACGCGGGCACGACCCATATAATGTTATCTATTGTAAATCGGAGCTGAACATGACAGCATCTGTTCCTAAAAGCCTATTTTACAGTCATCGCCGTTAAAAATATATTATGGTCAGTGCATAGTATAAGTTACAGAAAAATTTGAGAAAGCTGACTATCACCAATGCTGCATAACCTACAGCAATTATATGCATTTTAGACTGCTGAATTATTTATTAGTAGTTTTATTGGTACTTTCCATATTGTCTTTTTACCATAAACATTCTACGGAAGCTCTCACATTTTCAGTGGACATTGATGTATCGGAGGAGTAAAAAGAAAAGATAGAAGTTGTAATTCTAATAAATATTCATTATTGGATATTAATTAACATGATATTTTTGTTTAATGAATTAATTAATAATATAGAACTATTTTTTTTCAAACAAAATTTTACGAGAAGAAATATATGAAGACGAGACAAGAATAACCCCTTGAATTATCGAGAGAGCATGCTTCAAATATCTAGAAATATAAAGATACTTATAGATAATATCAATGTTTACTACAAGAATCATTTTATGTTTTTTTTAAATTCAAAATTATATTAAAAAGAATCATTTTTATTCTTAAATGGCAAAAATAATAAAAATTCCACTATTTATGTAATTAATTTGATACTAAAATAAAACAATCAAATTAACTATTAAGTAATAATGCAAGACCAAATCGAGGGATCACAACCATCAGTTACATTCTAGTTTATGCTATAAAATATTTAAAAAAATAATAGATAATAATAGATAAATAATAAAAACTAGTGACATAATTTTTAAGTAATTTTTTTTAGCAAGTAAACTTTCAAACAGGCCATTACATATTGAAAATTTGTATAAAGAGATCACCAAATAATTTAGATAACTTTTTTACACTAAATTATTGTTTAATTAAAAAAAAAAATTACTTATAACTTATTACCTACGTTTTTAATTTTTGAAAGCTACAAAAAAATAGTCAGACGACCACCCCTGATTAAAAAAAAAAAAAAAAA